GGTCACGGGGTCCAGGATGCGAGCCGCGGTGGACTACGTGGGAGTCCAGCGACATAGCCTTTACACTAACTGCTGGTTCCCAGATGTTTTGTCTTCTACATTAGAGATTCGATCTTCTGCCTGGTCTAACCTACTTTTAATACTTTCAAGGGAGGTATTGATTTCCTGTATCACATTCTTTAACTCTAGAAGTTCCATCTGGTTCTTGTTTAAGGTATCCATTTCTTCTTTCAAGTCATGAAAGGACTTCCTCATCTCATGAAGCTCCTTGTCTCTTTTGTCTTCCATCTCAGTTAGTTTGGTCACTACAAATATTCTGAATTCCTTATCAGACATGTCCACGATGTCCATTGTACTTACTATGGGTGATGTAGGCTTGATGATTTCCCTTGAGGGAGAGGCCTTTTGTTGGTTGTTCATACTTCTTGAGCCTCTGCAATTGTTTCTAGTCATCAGGTAATCTATATGTTGTTTCCTAACTTATTTAAGGTATCTCTGAGCGTTAAAAATTATACATGGGGACCAGCAGTTAGCATAATGGCTATGTCGCTGGACTCCCATGTAGTCGACCATGGTTCGTGTCCTGGACCTGGTAGCTTAAAACTCACGTCGGGCGCGTGTGCGTGCGTGCCCAAGATCCCGAGAGGAGAATGGAGGAGAAGGGATTGCGGCATGACCATCCCCCCTGGGGGTGATTTCTCGCTTTCTGTCACTCTGTCTCTCTCTGTCTCCCCGCCAAGCACACGCACCCTATAGTGAAAATATCACGCAAAAAAAAGAAAAAAATCTCTCTTAAAAAAAAAGATTTCATATGTATTAAGATGTTTATTATAGTGTTTCTTAAAAACATTAAAAATTGTGGTAACAAATTGTCTCAAAGCCTACTTAAGGAAGTTTATCAACTGAATCTAATATGAAAGCATTTAGAGTGACCATCCCCCACCAAAGTCTGTGGAAAATATTTAAATGAAGATACGGAATATGTTGAGTCATTGGGTCATTTTGCATAGGAAAATACGTCATCACTTTCCAGATGACCTAATATAATACATGTTATTTAAGAAAATATGTGTGGAATGAAAAAGGACTGAAGGCTGCTGCATCTGGGTGCCGTTGCCCTTTTTCCTTTCGATCGAATGTAAAATTGTCATAAATTGGGTGGAGAGAATTAAAAATGAAATTGGAGAAAAGGCCAGCCAGAGTCATTCATCAGTAGTAATCTTGCTTAGAACTCTTATTTTTTCAAAATACAAACCTGCAAAAAAGATTTCAGAAAGGAACATGGGGGCTTAGACACTGCAATTAATACTTAGGAACAACAAAAACATCTGGAAATTCTAAGTGGAAGCTGCAACTCAGGCTGGGGCGGGCTTCTTTGTTTTATAGCAAACCATCTGATACACACAGATTGGATCCTTTTAAACGCATCCCTTTATTGGAATAAGAAAACAAGCACGATAAAAATCTACATTTTCAGGAGTGTGGGAAAAACAAGTACTCTCCACTTCTCTAATAAAACATATGACACTACTAATGCAAATCACAAATCTTTGAGCCAGCAGTGCAAATTAAGGAAATTTTCAGCGTAACTATACTCACACACATACAAAATAGCATATGCCTAGTTTGAAAACAATGTAAGTGCCCATTGTTTACTTGTTAGATCAATTAGATTAATTGATCCATCCTTTAAATGGAATATCATGCAACTGTTTAAAAAGAAAGTGAGAAATCCCTTCTTGCTAGAATTCTAAGCTTTCCCTGTAAAGAGTAAATGGTAAGTATCTTTGACTTTGTGGGCCATAAGGTCCTAGTAGCAGTTATTCAACCAGCTGTCCAGCAGAAAGCAGCCATGGGCAGTATTTAAACAAGTGGGCATAGCTAGATTCCAATCAAACAGTATTTCCAAGAGGCAGAGGCTAGATTTGACCTTCACATCATAGTTTTCTGACCACTGCCCTCCTGTGTAATGGGAAATGATGTCCAGTATACGTTGTTCTGTCAAAACCTCAAGGGGTGGAATACTGTCCAGTACTTCATTGTATAAAACTTGGAGAGGGTGGAGCATGTGTGTATACATGCGTGCACACACATGTGTGGAATTTCTTTGAAACGTTGAAATGGATAATATCACTGCCTCCGAGGAGAAGAACCGTGAATCTGAGACAAGGGTAGGAGAAAAACGTTTAGGTATGTGAGAGGACTTCGGAAAGATTGTAAAAACTGAAATTAAAATGCAAGTTTATTTTCGTGCAAAAGAGGTTTGAAATCCATGCATAGTTTTTTCATCATACACATTTTTCCATGAAGCTTTTGAAGACCCTTCTGTGCCTTTTGAATTTTGATCTGTGAAAGAATGGTAAACCAGGACTATTCCTCCAAACTGTTCGGGATTCCAATTCCAATTCCTTTTTCTTTCTTTCTTTCTTTCTTTCTTTCTTTCTTTCTTTCTTTCTTTCTTTCTTTCTTTCTTTCTTTCTTTCTTCCTTCCTTCCTTCCTTCCTTCCTTCCTTCCTTCCTTCCTTCCTTCCTTTCTTTCTTTTTTTTCTTTTTTCAGGTTAACATATCACTTTCTCTGAACAACTTGGTTGATGTAGAGCTTTTCTGTAGTCATTGTCAAGGGTAGTGACTATCATCCCATCTATATTTTATGTCCAACTAATTCTCCCTACAGTCCTCTCAGAAGCACCACTTCTCGGGAACCAGCAGTTAGTGTAATGGCTATGTCGCTGGACTCCCACGTAGTCGACCGCAGTTCACGTCCCGGACCCGGTGGCTTAAAACTCATGCTGGGCTTGTGTGCGTGCATGCCCAAGATCCCGAGAGGAGAATGGAGGAGAAGGGATTGCGGCGTGACCATCCCCCCTGGGGGGTGATTTCTCGCTTTCTGTCTCTCTGTCTCTCTCTGTCTGTCTGGCGAGAGCACGGGCCCTATAGTGAAAGACTCTCCAAAAACGAAAAAAAAAAAAAAAAACAAAGAAGCACCACTTCTCACAACCTTTAAGTTCGAGACATTAAAGTCAGAAGTCACAAAATGGTTTCCAGACTTCTAGTGCCCTCAAGGACGATGAATGCATGTGAGGGTCATAGTGGAAAAGTGGGGAAGAAAGGAGGGAACCAGCCAGCTCCGTGGCCTCTTGATTAAGGCAGCCGGATCCCACATGGGCAACCAGGCAGCTCGAGTCCCAGCCCAACAGCTTGACTCACATGCCAGGCTGTGTGCGTGCATGCCCAGAATCCTCAAAGAAGGGAGAGATGAAGACGGTATTGTGGTGTGACCATGCCCCATTAGGGAGTACATTCTTCTCTCTGTCTCTCAGGCAAGTACATGTGCCCTCTTACTAAGTAATAAATAAATAAATAACTGAGGAAAGGAGGGAAAAGATACAATATGACAATCGTTTCAAGGATCTACAAGGAAATTGTTTCATCTTCCATAGGAAATCCGATGACGACTCATGGGTGAGCAATGGCACCTACTTGGAACTTAGAAAAGATCTTGGTTTTTCCAGACTGGACCATCCTGTCTTGTGGTGAAAAAGTAAAGAAGAAAGATGTGTTAGTGTACTTCTCCGGTGTTTGCTTCTAGAAGCAGCACACGCCTGTGTCTGTATATATAAAAGGTATTATCTAGAACGATCACTTGTGCTTAGCCTAGCATTGTAACTATATAAGTATATATTTTCTTCAGTAGGTTTCTTTACAATTTCAGATGTTATCATGATTGTTTATATGAATGTAGCACTCCTTGATATTTCTTTTTATATATAAAACTATTTAATAAAAATGAAAGATTGAATGTTATGTGTGGGTTTAAAAAAAAAGAAGCTTTAACACTAATTTTCCAAAGGTTAGGGAAAATTCCATTTAAATTTATGCCTTATAAAATTATGTTGGAGGAAAAAAATATCAACCTCTCCCAGGTGCATTAAGATATAAGAATAATTCCCAGGGTTACTCAGCCATGCGTAAGCTACCTGAGTTTAATTTGGTAGCCTAGATATCTTTTAGCCTCAGACAGCTCTTGAATTGCTCGTACAGAGCAATTCTGCCGGTGCTGGAGTCCGAAAGATATTTTCATTTGCATTTTAGTGGTTAGGGGATGGTGTGAGATCAGTGGAATGTATGTTTTTATATAAGAGGTATATGGCACCTTGAAGTGGAAGCATTTGAGCTTGCTCTATAGTTCTATTGCCTTATATGCAAAATTGTACCCACTTGCTCAGAGAAATTGTCATGAATCAGAGAATCCCCTTAATTAAACATCGTAATGGCATCCCAGAGAATCTGTAGGAAATTTCTTCTTAGCCAGAGCTGAATCCTTGACAAGAAACTATTTCCTGTTTCCCACCCCAACCCTAGCTTTTTGACCCCTCCTGTTTGACTCCATCTCTGTTGAGTCTAGGATGTCCCAGTTTAGTATAAAACACACAGTACATTTCACATAGCAGTTTGACTTTCTAAAAGAAAACAACTGATTGTTTCACATAACTCAACATATTTTTCTTAAATACTGTTTTGGTATTTTCTACCTCTTAATAAGCACCGTATTTTAGATCTTGTATAAAAAGTTCAACCATCTGCCTTATAGACAAATATAGAGAATCGATGTTCTTTGTGTTGTGTTCTGATAAAGCGTTCAGTGTCTTATGCCTTTCCTTCTCTTTCTTCCTCATATCACTCTTTTGTGAGTTTTGCAGCAGTCTGGAATAGCACAGATCCTAACTACTGAAAGGGGGAACTTGGTTTGTGGTTTTTGGGGGTTTTTTTTAATGTGTTATTTCAAATTACAAGAAGGAAATTAGCTCAGTAGTTGAATTGTGTTATCAAAACAGTTTCAACTTCTGCCCAGACCACATTAAAACCAAAGCCTAATTGTTAAGCCTTTTGCTATAATGTTCATAGAAATCCTATGGAATGTCATGTTTAACGTGATATGGTAAAAACATTGCTTCAGCTGATATTTTTAGATATTTAAAGAATTTCAAAGCATGTAGAATGCAATAAAAGAATGAGGTTATAATGAAACAAATAACAGGAAAAGAAGCATGATCTTTTAGTGTCACGACACCAGATAACCAGCTGGACAGTATTGCATTTTTCAAATGGAAAGTCATTTAAAGTGGATCAGTAGCCTTCTAGAATCGTGCAAGTGACTGGCATTTTAAAACAACTCGTTAAATATTGGATTAATTTATTTCATTGTATCGAGACGTCAAGGGGAACACAGTGTGAATATCATTTCCATTGCTAAGCAGTCGAACGACACAATCCGATCCTCTGGTATGTGCTTTGTTCTTTTCTTTTCACGCGTTTATCCAAATTCTGCTCACAGAGATGAGGAAGCAGGCCTAGATTTAAGGATACACAAGGGGAAAACAAATTTAGTTTTCACAACATGAGAATAAATGTACAATTTTAATCATATCGACTGTTAAATAGGCCTGCTCTCAACGCTGGCTCAAAAAAGCCAAAACGACAAAACCATAACCTACGGTCTGGATGTAGCTGTGTCATGAAGTGTTTGGAAATTCTATAATTGCCCCAGTACTATTATTTCCATTGATTTTATGCTTTATTTTGGAATCACAAGACAGCTGGACCAAATATCACCTCTGTAGATGTCTTATTTGAGATGAGGATGGATGTGAATAAATTGCAGTACAGAACTACATGCAGATTTAAAAGTCTACCAGTCACTACCAGTTTTATAAAGGGCTTTCCCAAGTGTAAACAGCTTCAGTGAAGCAGCCTGATAGTTGAATCTTGAAACTATCTTGAGGGGGAACTGACTTCTTTCCTTCTGCTTCTTTGCTCAGAAGCATATTCTCACCAAATTTATTCACCTAGGACATCTTCTGTCTTTAAGATGAAGAGTGCAGAAGCATGGCATTGTTTGGGAAGAATGAGGTGGAATTGAACTTTCTGGACTTTGAAATCTCTTCATTCAATATGCCAATCACTGCCTCATGTAAGCTACAGGGTTAAAACTCTATCTTAGTTCTAATTATTTCTCAAAGTTGTGGTCAATTGCACAGATATTTTCGGAAGTGAGACTTTCTGCAGGATACCCCATCGTACTTCAGATGCTCCCATGGCCACTGTGCCTACCCCAAACTGCAGGACATCCCTCCAGGAATGAGCCCACCGCCTCCAGTGTGGCCAGGGGAGCACCCTAAGAGTGGTATTTCCTTCAGACCTGGGTAATAATAAAAGCCTTGACCCAGCTTCTCCAAGCAGTTCACCTCTCAGAGCCGGGCTGGTTCCCGTACAACTAAACAGATGAGTGTTCACTTCAGGACAACATTCCGGTTACCTGACAAGTACCAGATGTCCAAATAGCCCCACCGTCCTCCTGTACTTCCTGGAGGACTCTGGTGGAGAAAAACATACAAACTAATTTTTGTTTCATGTTCACTGCATTTGGGCTGCTACTGTTCTCATGGTCTACTTTTAATTACTTCCAGTCATAAGCCAGTCATTTGCCTGGGCGTCAAGCACCATCCTTCATCTGATTTTCAGGTTTATGGTGAGTGATCTTGTTCTACCATAAAAGATGTCAAGCCCAGAAGAAAAATAATCATTTTAATTTGCCTGTTGAACCCATATTCTATGAGTTATTTTCTACCTTCCAGCCATTGAGAATTTCCTCAGACCTTTTAGTTATGAGTAGGAGCAATAAGAAGTCGTTCTTATGATCACAGGAATAATAGTCCAATGTACTGGGAAATTTATCTGAATGGCTTTCATTTTGATATTCACATTGGCATAAGTCTATTTTTGCTACCAGATGATAGCTATTTTCACATGCTCAGTTTTTTCCTGCAATGTATTCATCTGTTACTCAGCATTGGTCTTTATTTTTCTGTGTTGGAAATCTGCACACAAAAATATCTGCAAATCATGAGAGCCTAAAATGCAAACCATTTTCAGAGACTGATTTGGGAGAATGCAGTGATCAGAAGTAGCTAATTTATTTTATTTGTGATGATTCTATCTTCCTCTGTTACCCTCAGAAGATACTATTTAAAAAAAAAAAAAAGAGTATCTGTAAATCTTTGATTTAACTGTTTGTAAAGTTATTTTCTGTTTAAATTCCACCCTTCTACCCTACTCCTGTGCTTCCCCACAAAGCTCCTATTAATTGTTTACCCCTCTCATGTAGCTAGTTGACTGTGAATAAATAACATTGAAAAAGGATTCCTTTGTCTCTGTTCTTCCAGGTTAATGGTGTATGGGGCTGCCAAAGGGGATAGCTCAGTCAAGGAAGAAACACACCAGCTTACCTAAGGTGATGGGGATTGGACATGAAAATACCCTGGGAATCAGGATTATGGAAATCAAAGAGTGTCATACTTTGGGTCCCACCATCTCCTGGGCATACCACAAGTGTAGATCGTAACCCTTGGAATGGGGACCTGAGGTAGCTGCAGCCTCTGTGAGGACACTCCCAGCTCCAAGCAGCCCCCTCTATTTACCCCAGCATGTTGTGAAAATATACTATTTGCTCTGTGTGTCTCGGCATGAAAGAGGAAGACGCTGGAACCAGCAGGTGGTTAGTGGTTACAGTGCTGGACTCCCACATGGCCAACCACAGTTTGAGTCCCAGACCTCACAGCTTGAAAATCACACTGGGTATGTGTGCTTACGTGCCCAGAATCCTGGGAGAAGAAGGGACTGTAGTGTGGCCATTTCCCCCTGGGGGTGATTTCTTACTTTCCCTCTCGCTGTCTCTCTCTCTTTCTCTCTGGTGAGTGCACATGCCCTCTGGCATAAAAACCTTAGAAAAATCAAAGTAAGAGGCAGGTGGTGACCAACCCACCAGACTTACTGGCCTTAGAAATGACTAACTCACCTCCCCGATATCTAACTCGTATCCTTTGCAATGCCAGAACCTCCCTTAGCATTCTCCAAAGCTCCATCTGAGTCCACTGAGGTATGTATGGTGTTCTGCTAGATCTGAGAGTCACCCACAAAAAGTCACATCTCGCTGGACTCCCACGTAGTTGACCGTGGTTCGCATCCCAGACCCGGTGGCTTAAAACTCACACCGGGCGCGTGTGCATGCGTGCCCAAGATCCCGAGAGGAGAATGGAGGAGAAGGGATTGCGGCGTGACCATCCCCCCTGGGGGGTGATTTCTCGCTTTCTGTCTCTCTGTTTCTCTCTGTCTGGTGAGCGCACGTGCCCTATAGCGAAAACCTCTCAAAAAAAAAAGTCACATCTCTGTATCTCTAAAAGATGCTTAAAGAGACATCGGAAAGCAGTTGAACTTTATTGGATCCTGGCAAAAAAGAAAAGCTTTAAAATACATTTTTGAGGTGCAGCCTCAGTGGTGCAGTTGAGAGCATGTGAACTGAGGTGCTGGAAGCCACGTGGCTGGCTACCAGTTCAGATCCTCAGCCTGGCTGACCAGAAACATGCAGGGTATGCACACGTGTGCCCAAGATCCTGAGGAGCTGGAGGAGTGGAGAAAGGAGCTCGTCAATGAGGAGACCCTGTCAAGGATGCCCTCCCCCATACACATGCAGGGGTGTGCACACATGCTTTCTTTCTTTTTTTAAAAATTACTTGCACATTTTACCTAAAGTCCCCATCATGATGTATGCAATATATTTTTTAAACAGAGAAGTTCACATTTTTCCATCTGTCAAATATTTTTTCCCCTTGCACACATGCTTTCTATAATGAATTTCAAAAATAGAATTTAAGGGGCAAGCAGGTGGCATGGAGATTAAGGCAGCTTGATTCCATATGGCCAACTCCATGGTTCGAGTCCCAGACATGATGGCTTGAAAATCACACTGGGCACGTGTGCATGCATACCCAAAATCCCAAGAGGAGAATGGAAGAGAAGGGAGTGTGGCATGGCCAAACCTGTGGGATAGTTTCTCATTTTCCCTCTGTCTGACTCTGACTCTCTTTCTCTCTGGTAAGTGCATGCACTTTATAGAAAGAGGAAACAAAAGGCTTAAAAAGATGTTTTGAAGGACCAGCAGATGGCGTAATGGTCATATTGCTGGACTCCCACATGACTGTGGTTTGTGTCCTAGACTTGAAGACCTGAAACTCACACTGGGCACATTGCGTGCATGCCCAAAATTCCAAAAGAAAAATGGAAGAGAAGGGATTGCCGTGTGTTGTGATCCCTCCTGGGGGGGGTGGTGATTTCTCACTTTCTGTCTCTCTACCTCTCTGGCAAGCCCATGCGCCCTATAGGAAAAATCTCTCTTAAAAAAAAAAAAAAGTTTTGAGGACAATTAGTGAAATTTGCAACAAGCATAATGAGATCATTGCCAGTTTCCTTATACATATTGTGATATTGCCTATTGAACTGAATCCAATCCAATTAGAGGAAGACCATTTCCAGCATCATTCCAATAATGTGTTGTGGACACGAAAGGAAATCGTAAAGGCACACTCAGACGATTTGAACATACTGGCCATTATTTTAACGTGTTCTAAGGTGTTGGTGCTGAGAAGGCAATAAAATTTGGAGGCATATGTTCCAATCAGTTAGTTTAGAAATTTAGTCAAATTATTCTCTAGTCCTACCAATGAAATACCAGAATTAACCTGGTTAATGTTGGCGATTCAGAATATCACTCTCCTAGGTAACATCAATAAAGGATTTCTTATGGACTTATCATTGGGGTTCCTGCAGGAAACAGAATCTAATCCAAATGGTTCAGACTTAAATGAGCAGACTACTTGCAGAATTGAGAACAAGTTTAGGGCATCAGGAGCGATGTGCAACACTGGAAAGTCTTGGCGGTCCCAGCATTAGCTGCACCTCCTTGAAGAGGGACCACCATCAGGAGCTGCAATTAAGAGGCGCATGCAATTGTTTTTGCCAGAAAACCCTAGACCAGAGTAAGAACTGTCCCAATCTGCTTCTGTTGGCAGTGCCCCCTAGTGGCTGCAGTGAGCTCAGGAGCACCTGGGTGCAGTTCTCAGAGCGCAGTACCTACAAGAGGTGGCAAACAGAAAACACCACCTGGACCTGTTCTTCATCAGAGGAGTTTGAGCCTGTGCTTGCAGAGGAATTTCCAGGAGCCTTGGAGAAGATAGGCCTTGTCGGGAACCAGCAGTTAGCCTAATGGCTATGTTGCTGGACTCCCACGTAGTCGACTGTGGTTCGCGTCCCGGACCCGGTGGCTTAAAACTCTCGTGTGTGTGCGTGCCCAAGATCCCGAGAGGAGAACGGAGGAGTAGGGATTGTGGCATGGCCATCCCCCCAGGGGGTGATTTCTCGCTTTCTGTCTGTCTCTACCTGTCTGGCGAGCGCACGCACCCTATGCGGGGAGCGCCCCCCCCCCTATGGAAAAAAAACCCTCCAAAAAAAAAAAAAAAAAAAGATAGGCCTTGTTAAACGATGGCTCCCATTTATTTTATCTAGGGTAAATTATGATTAACTGCTTTTTTTGTTTGGTTTTAGTTTTGGTTTTTGTCATAGGGCATATGTGCTCACCAGAGAGTGAGGGAGAAAGGGAAAAGTCATCCCCCAGGAGGATTGCCACACCACAACCCTTCTCCATTCTCTTCTCAAGATTTTGAACACATGTGCACACATGCTGACATCGTTTTCAAGCCACTGGGTCCAGGGTGCAAACCGTGGTCAGCCATGTGGGAGTCCAGTGCCTTAACCACTGCCACCTGCTGGCCCCTTAAGTGTGTGCATGTGTTGTTGTTTTTGAGAAATTTTTGCTATAGGGTGTGTGTGCTCTCTGGGAGACAGAGACTTAGAGAAAGTAAGAAATCACCTTCCCAGGAGGGATGGCCATGCCTCAGTCCCTTCCCCTCCATTGTCCTCTCAGGATTCTGGGCATGCACACACACACGCCGGGCATGAGTTTAAAGCTACTGGGTCTGGGACCAGCAGTTGGCGTAACGGCTATGTTGCTGGACTCCCATGTAGCCTACCACGGTTCGAGTCCCAGACACGGTGGCTTAAACTCACACCGGGCGCATTGCGTGTGTGCCCAAGATCCCAAGAGCAGAATGGAGGAGAAGGGATTGCAGTGTGGCCATCCCCCCAGGGGGGTGATTTCTCGCTTTCTGTCTGTCTGTCTCTCTCTTTCTGGTGAGTACACACAACCTATAACAAAAACCTCTCAAAAAATTATTTTTAAAAATGGTTGCTGGTTCCAGGACTCAAACTGTCATCAACCACATAGTAGTTCAGCGCTTCAACCACTATGTTACCTGCTGGCCCTCTTAACTGTGTTTTTAAAAAACTTTTGTCAGGGGACCAGCAGTTAGCATAATGGCTATGTCGCTGGACTCCCATGTAGTCAACCACGATTTGCGTCCCGGATCCGGTGGCTTAAAACTCATGCCGGGCGCATGTGTGTTCATGCCCAAGATCCCAAGAGGAGAATGGAGAAGGGATTGCGGCATGGCCATCCCCCCTGGGAGGGTGATTTCTCACTTTCTGTCTCTCTGTCTGCTCTGTCTGGCGAGTGCACGTGCCCTATAGCAAAAACCTCTAAAAAAAAAAAAAAAACAAAGACACA